CGTGATGGCAGAGTAAACCTCACAGCTACCGCCATGACTATGTTCGACACTGCTATCCTGCATCCTGCTTTGTAGTTCAACGCGGTTCGTGAGAATGAGCCCGGGTCAGGTAGCAGGAGGTTAAGGAACCTACAATGTTCATCGTCCCGAAGGCTAAGGCTATCATTTCTTTGTTGCCGTCGATGTGGTAGTTCTTGTACCGTGCAAAGCTCCTCCGAACTGCTACTCCTTCCTGAGATTAGAATATACCATGTTCTCTGTCATGGTTTCAAGTTAATGACAGAAATGTCGTTGCTTGAGGTACTCTTATGTAATGTTAGCTTACAGCGAGAGCGATGATTCCAGTCTTAATGGCCGCTAGGGCGAACTGAATGCTAAGTATGAATGCGAAGTGGCTAGGAGAATCGGAGGATGGCGGGGAGTGACAGTCGGTCAACATTACCAATTTACCGTCCCTGTTTCGGTTAGAAATGAGGTAGAAATATAAAAATTAATTTAAATTAATTTTATTATTTTTTAATTGCCACGTCGCACATTTAGCGGTCAACTATAAAAGCTGACTGCCACATAAGCAAGAGTTAACGTAGTTCGACGGAGAGTGACCAAACTTGAACCATTTAACTAATTAGAGTGACCAAGATTGGATTTAAATATTTCTAGTGACCAAACATAAACGTTTTTTGTAATCTCAGTGACCAACCATGCAATTAACCCTATTATTATTATTATTATTGTGGTTATTATTGTTATTCTGATAAACAGATCGGAGGAGGAAAGTAGTGGAGCACCACTGTGAAGCATCTTGTGCTCTTTCCTGCATGGGCAAAGTAAATGGAAAAAATCCTGGTCTATTTAATTTTGCGTCCATTATGGAATCATTCAAGCCCAAGGCTTGGGCGGATTGAACTTTACAGGTCATTGGACAAGATAAAGGTCCACTTATGGAAATCAAACTAATATATGGTGATTACTGATGTTCTAGTGCATCGGAAGTGGGAAGTCATACTCGAACAAAAGGTTATTTAATTGGAAGCTAAGCCACAAGCTAGCTATTCGTTGCAAAATTAAAAGGTCGGGACTTCTTGAGAGGTAATTACTGAAACTTTTTCCCGAGTGATTAATAAATGATTAATTTTGTGTGAGTTTGTGCATGGAATTAAGAAAGGGTATGAATGCTAGAATGAAAACTTGAATTGATGCATGATAAGTTGACATTGAGATATATTACTTATCTCGATGATTAGAGCATAAATTGAATACATGCTATGGAAAGAATGATTTTGTCTAAATGTGTGCATTGAAGAATTTATGGGAATAGAATGAGTTTAGTGCCCATAATAACGATATTGTAAGAAGTACTATTATTAGTACTACACGAACCACTTAGGCTGCTCTGAAACGTTAAAGTTTCAGGAATGAAAGTAGCAAGTCGAACTAGATCTATACCAAATAGAATGGTACCCTTTGTGGTAACCATAAGATTGCCACCCAATCCTCTAAGAATGACGCTATGTTTCTCTGTTAAATTTGTGAGAAACTAGGTCATAAGACACGAAATTGTAAGAACAAGTTTAACCTAGTGTTAAGTTGACTAAATAACAAGATTTGGTTGTAACAATCACTAATGGGGTGATAGGCTTTGATGGCAATTCTGAAGAATGGTGGTTGGATATTGACGCTTCAAGGCATGCATATGATAAAGTAGCTAAGCTCAATCATGCATTGAGGCGTATTGAAGGAGACAGTGTTGTTGGGCAAGACCCTCACCACTATTGTTGATGGTTCTGGAAAAGTGGAAGAGAACCCTACCTCTAGAAAGTCATTGACTATCCTAGACGTAAGAAATGGTTAAGTAGATAAGATAAATTCTTCTAAGTGTGTCAGTGTGAAGAATTAGAATATCTTATATCACATTCCCATATTATTATTGGATGCTTGAGAAAAATATGAATTTTGTATATCCAAGCTAAATGACCCATAAATATGTGGTTAGAGAATCAGAATCGATAGATATGATTTATTTTGATATGGGTAAACAAGGTGGAAAGACAATAAATTATTTATTGCTCTATAAAGTGTTTTGTCTAGTTATTGGAGATGCTAATTTGAAATAGCTTGAGAAATGCTTAATTGCATTGTTATTGATTGCATTGATTATTCAATATATCGCATGCTTGTGGTAGAGTTAACAAACCAGTGTAGTGAACTAGAAGAGCATATGAGTGTGTTTTATATTGTCAACAATAAAAACACATAGTTCCTATGAAACGAAATACTCATGTTGTTGTGAAATCCATTGATGCCAATAAACTTCCATTTTAATTCAAGAAATAGTGGGGGTAGTGTCCTGCCTACTATTAGAAATAATGGAACTAGTGGGGGTGGTGAATCTGAGTATGAATTCAGAAGAAGCAAACGAACTATAAATCGATAAAGGATTTTGGTTATGAGTTTGTTAATTACACCCTAAGAAAGATCCTACAATTCTGCTAGAAGTTCAAACTTCTGTAAAGGTGCAGATTTGTGGGAAGAAGCCATTATTAATAAAATGAAATCATGAGAGTCTAATAAGACTTAGAAACTTGTAGAGTTATCTTTTGGTTGTAAAGCCTTAGGTAATATATCGATGAAATCGAAAAGATTTGGCATCTTTGAGAATTACCTCTTGGCAATGAAGCCAAGCTAATAAATGGATTCCTAAAAGAAAAACTGAAACTTGATGGTTTAGTTTATGAGTATAATGATCGCCTGGTAGCTAAGGCTCTAGGTGAAGAGGAAAATTGTAGATTTCTTTGATATCTATTCACCAATATGTAGAATAACAACCATCATATGGATGTTAAACTTCTTTTGTGAATGGTGGCTTAGATAAAGAAATCTACACGAGAAAACCTAAGAAGTTGTTATTCTAGAACATGCTTCTGGAGTCTATGGTTAGACAAATCATTATATGATTTGAAATAGACTCAGAATTCGTGGCATGATCAATCATATTCTCTCTCATGGTTTTAAAAGTGAAAGTGAAAAGTGCATTTAGTACAATTTTAAGAATGAAACTTGCATTATGAATGACACGTCGATCTTTGGTACAAAGACTCGTGATGTCAATATTGAAAAACCTTGATAGTTGAGAATTTTGAATGTGAAGGATCTGAATGAAACAAATGTTATGCTTAGAGATCCTAATAACTAGGAAAATACAAGATGTACACCTGCATACATGTTTGATGATGCTAGTATAAATATTTAAAGAACAGTTAAGACGGTGTAAGAAAGTTAGAATATACTAGCATTTACAGTCTGCGAGAGGCAGCTGATAAACATGAGACCCGATTTAGTGGGAGGTACTTGGTAGGCTTACTGATTATCCTAGTATGAAGCATTGAAATGCTGTTGAAAGGGGTCATGAGACACCTTAAGAACAGTAGACCTTGATATAAGTTATCAACGGTTTCTGCTGTATTGGTAGGGTATATTGATGCGGATGAGAATACCCTATAGAAGATTCCAAGGCATTCAGTTGACATGTTTAAACATCACTGGAAGAGTTGTGTCTTGGAATTCTAAGAAGTAAATGATTCTGGCACAATCAACTAAGGAATCAGAAATGATAGAACTAGCGATGGCTAGTAAAGAGGAAAGTTTATTGAGAGGGTCATTACTAGAGATTCCCTTATGGGAAGGGTCCCCTCTGGTAGTTGATTCATTGTGATAGCACCGCAACTATTACTAAAGAAGGGAACCGGTTCTAGAACGAAAAGAGACGACAAATTCGTCGTAAGCACAGTACTGTAAGAGAACTCCTAACGATAGGAGCAATGAGGGTGGATCATGTGAGATCCTAACAGAATCTAGCTGATCCTTTGACGAAAGGATTACCTAGAGAGAAAAGTCCAAAATACCACGAAGGGTATGAGACTTATGCCTACCGAACCATGGATTACAAGTGATGGTAACCCGACCCGATAGACTGGAGATCCCAAGAAACGGGTTCAATGGGTAATAACAAGTCATGAGTAATATTGAGAAAAGTTCATGCATAGTGAAGCATGAATCCCAAAGCCTTGGAGGTTGAGTTAAACTCTTAATGAGATCTATATTCTATGTGGAGTGAAGTGCTTTACTTTGGGGGTACTTATGATAGACTCACCTATGTGAATGTGGGAGTGGGCCGCTCCCTATGGAACTTTGGAGGCACAAAGTTGCTAGAGCGTTCACTAAACCAGAATAACGTGCATGGCCATAAACGCACGGCCTATGAGAGAATATCACTCAATGAAAAGATCTGGTGTGCTACATTGTCTGAGATAGGGTTCAAGACTACGAGTCACCGTTATGAAAGCGAAAGTGTAACCACTACGCTAAGGTTCAAATCTTCGCGATACCTTAGCTTATGCCCGACCTTATGGAACTGTTGATGCTCAGAGATAGTTTCAAAACTATTCAAGTGGAGGATTGTTGGGATGAATAGCTTTGAAATTCCTAATTAATTATCCAGTATTTTCACATAATACGAAAATAAGATGGATAATTAATAAAAAAAATATTATGGAGATAATTAAGATTAATTATCTTAATAGATTATATTTTAATTATGAGAGTAATTATCTCCCTAATTAAAATGTGACTTATTCCCAAAGAAAGAGGGAATATTCTGGGTTTTCTGATCCTATAAATAGCAGACCCCCCAGACCCTCTAAACACACCTCAGAAGAGCAGAAACACGAGAGAGAGAGAATTCATAGAGCTCTGGTTTTCGCACAAAACCGATGAGCAATAAAATTAGAATGATTGTTTTATCCTGGAGGCGACCGGCTGATAGTCTGATGTGCGCATTACGAGGCAGTGTCGCGAACGTCTTAAAGAGAGCAACCTAGTCCGCGACTCAGCCAGATTCGGTAACCCTAATTTTTCATGTTCGATTTCTAACACAATCTGCCTGGATTTCGCTGAAGCTGCTTCTCTCTGTTCGACGTCGACGACAGAGGCGGAGGCGCGACATGAATCAGGGACGAGAATTTGGCGGAGGCGGAGGCAATATCGCGAGGAAGACCGTCCTTCAAATCAGAAGCGATGGTGCTGACCGCCAGCGATGGTGCGGCAGAAGGGCGAGGTCGCGGGGAGGAGGGCGCTGGCGGAGCTGTGGCAAGCGCACTCGCCGCAAAGTGGCGCTGTTGCCAGGAGGAAGCGGCGATTGCGGAGCAAGCGGTGTCGCGGACTCGCTGGGAGGAAACGACGGCGGCGGAACAGGCGGGGTCGCTGGTTGAGAGCAGGGTCGCGCGTTGGTGGCAGCGTCGGCGGGGGAGCAGGCGGTCTCGCGGGGAGGATGGGGGAGGGTATTGGAATTAGGTTATTTGATTTGGGGTGAAGGGTTTCTGCGATTTTGGGATGGGGAGAAGGGGATTTTCGGTGAGGGTCGGTTAGCCGCGGTTAATCATTCCCAGTTATTCGGCTAGCCGGAGCCCTCTGATGGGCATCCGAACACCGACCGAGGTCAGTTTTTTGCCGGTTTTCGGTTAGTCGGTTTCTGTCGATTTTTCAATTATAACCGGCTTCTAACCGCTGGCAACCGAATTGCCAGCCCTAGTCATTCATAACAAACTTTCTTTGTTTAATTGTCGATCGACTTAAATTAGGTAGTTTCTGTTCGCCGTTAAGCGATGAGAAATACAAAGATCGATCATTCGGCCGACTTAATGCCAATATGAGCAATACAAGATAATGCCGGCGAATTTAATTTGGTGGCTGGCCGGCTGGGAATATCCCTGCCGGTTTACGTATTTGGCCCACTACCGTAGAGTAAAGATATGGGAAACAGAACAGAAACGCTATCCCCGAATTGCATCATCGATCATTCCCAAGTATGGAAGAGATACAGCTAGCACTAATTCCTGCAGATACTATATATAAGTGTTTATATATATATATATATAGATAAGATCTCAGTATCCATAATCCAACCAACTACATTGGATAAAGGAAACCTTAACAGAACATCAACAACGTAAACTAACGGCCAGCCATGTCGATGCCCTTGTCCCTCTTGCTTTCCTTGCTTCTTCTGATTTCCTGTAAGTAGCTAGTGCCGCCTAGCTAGCTCGTTGATTGATATAATAATAATAATAACATGGATATGCAATTATATATGCATGCTTTCCTTGATCGAGTTGACCACTGGCCCGGTCCCAGAGGAGGAGAAGGACGCTTTGGTTGCTGACTATGTTGACGAGACGGGGACTTGGCGTACAGAGAAGTTTGCGAGCGTTCTCCCGAATACAGTGACTCAGCAGATCACAGCGCAGGCAGTTGACCCTCTAGCTGGGGGAGAGGATGTTCTTTTCTGGCAGCCCACTTCAGATGGTCGTTTCTCAACAAAGAGCGCCTACCAGCTAATGCAACCTAGTGCCCCCAGTGAGACAGCTCAGGTGTGGAAAGATATTTGGAAGCTTCCTGTGCCGGAAAGGGTGCGTTGCTTCATGTGGGTTGTGGCACACGATAAAATCAGCAGTAACGTGCAGCTCGTGAAGAGGAAGGTTGCTTCATCACCTTACTGCTACAGATGTGCTTCTCAGGAGGAGACCACGCTCCATATTCTCAGAGATTGTCCTCCAGCCGCCTTCCTCTGGGCTCGTACGGTCCCCACCGAGAATCAACAGGAGTTCTTCAGCCTTCAGCTCAAGCCTTGGCTCACAAAAAACTTGCAGTTGGAGAACATGAGCAGTGTCGAGACCCCCTGGAAAGCTTTCTTCAGCATAGCTGTTTGGAATCTCTGGAAGAACAGGAATGAAGGGGTGTTTAAAGGGATCGAGAAGACGCTCTCACCACCATCTTTGACTCAAGCCACTAAGATCAAAGCAACATTGTGGCACAAAGCTTGGATGGCCCCTCCAGACATTCTAGGCCGACGAGTAGCTCCAGCCCAGAGAATTACCCGTGAGATTAGCTGGCTTCCTCCTCCAACTGGGTGGGTCAAAGTTAATGTAGATGGGGCTGCTAATGGAGATCAAGGGCCGGCTGGCGCAGGAGGAGTCTTGCGAAACCACCATGGGCTTTGGATCAAGGGCTTTGTTGCAAAATTGGGAATTTGCTCGGCCATTCAAGCTGAGTTGTGGGGCATCTTCCATGGACTGGATATGGCTTGGGAAGAGGGAAGCAGAGCTGTCATTTTAGAATCCGACTCACAGATGGCTATTCAACTCATTGAAAAGAGATCCGACCCGGTACATCCCCATGCGACCCTTTTGGCAGCAATCAGACGCAAGATAGCTCGAGATTGGGTGGTAAGGCTTGTTCATACTTACCGTGAAGGGAATAGAGTTGCGGACTAGCTCTCGAAGCACAGTCTCGTCTATCCCTATGAAAAGTATGAGCTAGACTCACCACCTCAAGGTCTCCACCATATCATAAACGAAGACGGCAGAGGACGATCCTTCCCCAGGGACGTTGTGGATTCTGATGGACCACCCCCTATTCTGTAACATCTCCCCTCCCCCTGTCCTTCTTTTTCTTTGGCTGTAAAGCCTCCAGTGATGCAAAAAAAAAATGTTTTCCATTAACTGACTGGCCAGCTGGCGGTTGCAGGTGTGTGGTGGCAGCAGCTAAGCGAGTCGAGGAGAATGGAACCCTATGCAGCTCCTCCTCCTGCCAAGGCCCCGGAGGCGCCACATAATCATAATGGTCCAAACGACGCCGCCCCACGCGGAATCCCAGCGGCGGCAGTCACGGGCACAGATTATTCTGACTATCCAGTCTGTTCGAGTGATAAAGATTGCCAGGCAATCCTACCCTGCGCAGAGGACTCACCGGCCCTTTGTTTCAAGAGTAACTACTGCTACTGTTCTACTTAATTAGTTCCTCCGGCGGATTCGATCGGTCTCCATTAAAGACTGCAGTTGTATACGTCGACGTCTCTTGCGGCCGACCGACTGCTATTACCCTTTCAGTTATCCTTTAATTTTCCTCATGCATATTTTCGCAAACTACTTTGTGGTTGAGTTGAGCTTCATTTTAATTTACATATATCTTATCGAAAAAAAATATGAGCTTCAACGTAACTCTCGCAGCCGCTGATTTTTTATAATTAGTTCGATCTGATCATAACTGCAAGCGAATCGAGGTGAGGTTAAGCATTTTCCAAATCCTGATGAAGTTCGGCTCAAACAAAATTACCAGGGCTAGCGCTTGAGCTTTGATCAAGCTCTAAAACGAGCTTTAATTTAATTCACTAGCTAAATGGCCCGCGCTCCGCGGTAGGTGTCTTCTTACATAAATAATTATCAATACTTAACGGTACGTTTATTTTAGGTATAATAATATTTAAAAAGATGAGGAAAAAATGGTTTTGATCAATCTTGCCATACTTATTTTTATCTCGTCATTTTTAGGATTCTGGATTTTTTGCCCTTCTTCTCTCATGATAAATTGATGGTTAGGCAAGATGGGTCCCGACGATTGGTAGCCTACATTCCTTTCTTCCTTGCTCTGCACAAATTGACTGGTGGATAGGCAAGCGACCACTGCCCTGACTTGATGATCCTCTCCATCTCTTTATCTCGACCGTCCATCCTCCTATTGTTACTCTTCCTGACTATGGCGTGTCTGTTGGCCAAGTTTGAAGAGTTATTTTGATTATTTGGGGTTCCTCGCCTTCTCCTATTGGTTTCTCTTACTATCATTGCGATTGGCATTTCCTCATGACTGATGGCTAGCCAAGTTGGGTCTCGTTCAGTTCACAAAGGATGATTGTCGATTCCATTATTAGCACTTGCTTCGAAAAACGGTCAACATCTCTATTCTCGATTGAGATTGAACTTTCAAATTCGAGAGAAGAAGAAGATAGTTGTAGGCCCTATTAGAATATGACTTGAATTTGATTTGGTTTTGTTTTGTGTTTTGGGCCTATTTTGTTTGGGTTTGTGTTTGGGCTTTGTTTGACCTTTTCCTTGTATGTTTGGGAAAAAGTGTTTGGTTTTCTGTTTGGGATTAGGAGAAGAGTTCTATAAATACTTTTCACCACCATAATCTGTAGTAGGGTCAGTCGGGTTAGTTTGTTTGGTTTGTCCATTTGGAATTTGGTTTGTAACCTGTACTCTCCTCAAATTAGTGAAATTTGTCCCCCCTGCCGTGGATTAGCTAGCACACATTGTGTTAGTGAACCACGTTAAATTTGTGTTCGTTTGTGTTTCTTTGGAATATCGATTGTACACTTCTGTTCTGACAAGTGGTATTAGAGCCTTTGGTTGCGGTTTTGGGAATTTGGCGTTGGACTGAAGTTTTTCTTTGTGGAGTTTGGTTGGAGTTTGTTTGATAGTAAGAATGGCTGCTATCAGTATGAAGATTGAGAAGTTTACCGGAAGAAACAGTTTCAGTTTGTGGCAGATCAAGATGCAAGCACTGTTGAAACAACAGGGTTTGTGGGCTCCGTTGTCTGAAAAATCGAAGAATAAAAGCATAGATGAAGAATAGTGGATTACTTTGGACGAGGAAGCTCACTCTACAATCTTGCTTTGTTTGGCTGATGACATCATCACTGAGGTTGCTGCCGAGAAGACTACTGCGGGTTTGTGGTTGAAGCTTGAAAGTCTATACATGACAAAGTCTTTAACCAACAAGTTGCATATGAAGCAACGTTTGTTCAGTTTGCGTATGGAGGAAGGTACGTCTCTCAGGAATCATCTAGATCAACTCAATACCATCTTGTTAGATCTGCAAAATATTGATGTTAAAGTAGATGATGAGGATGCTGCCTTAATTCTGTTAGTATCTTTGCTACATTCATATGAGAACTTTGTGGATTCTTTTATTGGTGGAAAAGATAGTTTGTCTTTGGAAGATGTCAGATCTGCTCTACATACTAGAGAGGTTCGACATAAGGCATCTGGTTCAGGTTCGGAAAATCAGACATCTGGGTTGGCTGCTACGAGTAGTAGGAGACAACAATCTGGTAATAGGAAGGCGAATACAAATTCGAATTCTGCTGGTTTGAAGGATGATATCTGTCATTACTGCAAGGAGAAAGGACATTGGAAATTTGATTGTCCTAAACCGAAGAAATATCAAGAGAAGAATGAATCATCTGCTGCTGTGGCGGAAGAAACTAACTCTGATTCTGAAGATGGTTTAGCTTTAGCAGTGAATGAACAGGTACATCATCAGGATGTGTGGTATTTAGATACTGCAGCTGATTATCATATGTGTCCAAGCAGGGAGCATTTTTCAACTTATGAGCAGATAGATGGAGGACATGTTTCTATGGCCAATGGTGCTA